TATATATATATATATATATATATATATATATATATATATGTATGTATTCAGATGATATCAGTAGTGGTTCAATAAATAGAAAAGGAACAATAAGGTAAATAATTTGGAATGTGGGCCAATCAGATAAATATATTGAGTTAGATTTAATTCGAATATATATTTTGCCTAATAAAACCAATTTGTACAATTTTCCTAAAAAATTCTTAAATTTGAATTACTCGAACTGCAATAGTTTAGTCACACAAATTCGATTTAGGGTAGTTTAGTCATTACAATCACAAGCGTGAGTGACAACTCCAAGGCTGACATGCCCATTATATAAAATCCTAACTTTCCTCATCTCAGTACCACACACAAACAAGAGAAACTTTAGATCTCATTTCTTGTTGTACAATTCTCGTGAATCCTTCGTCTTCATCGTAAAAATGGGCAGAACTTTCTTCGTCGGCGGTAACTGGAAATGCGTAAGCTTCCGATTCTACCATATCTCCACTTAGTACTTTTGTTTCTCCGTCGTTCAATATTAATCGATCTATTTTCTGACTTTTTTTCTGAATAAATAGTATTTTCAAGCTTGAGAATCGGTTCTAATTGTTTTATATGCAATCAATTTAGTTAGTAGTACAGTTTTTTGGCTTACCGATCTGATTACAATTGTTAGTTTGATGATTTTGATCTCGATCTTATGATTTTCTCAATGAAAATGTGTACTGTGCTGGAAATGAGCTTCTTTGTTGTTGTTGTTTTTTGGATCTCAATTATTCTCTTACTCTATGGATTGTCGTAAAGTGGAGGAATAAGAGTATCGATCTGTATGGAATTGGATCCGTTTGTTTAGAGTATACTCTAAGAACTCACGAAAAAAGAGCAAAATAAAACAAATTAACAACTGAAAGGTCACTCGTTGTGTGTATAGTATAGTAATATATGGCTATATAGGTAGCTATGCCGGCCACGGCATGGAAGATTGGTTGTTCAAATTTTACTGTTCATATCCAAGTGTTATGTATTAGTCAAGCTTAGAGGTGTAGCTATGATTTTAAATTTTGTAATATACATATATATATATATATATATTACAAAAACTTTTTCAACTATGTTATTGTTCGTGAGTGGATCGACCAGTGATCAAGCGTCGCTTGGTAGAAGCCTTTATTATATTTGGTAATCGATAGATGATTTAGCTCTAATAATGAATGCAATGCAGAATGGAACCAGTGAAGAGATCAAGAAGATTGTAGCGACACTCAATGCTGGTCAAGTGCCATCACAAGATGTTGTTGGTAAGTAAATTTTCCGTATGAGTGATGTTTTTAATATATAATTTTGGGTGGATTGATTGGAAGCTGGTGTGTTAAAGTACCTGGATTATCATTTTAGGATGTCAATATCCATACCTCTAAGTCCACAAGACAAATAAATATAATTTATTTAAATTTCTGGTTGTAACATACCCTGATGTTTAAGTAAAATGATATCTGTATCAAATCTATAAAACTTGAAGGTATCTGATTTTCTAAACATTATATATATCAGACAGACAACTTGATCAGTGTGGACTGTAGAGATATGTTTACGCTTCCCATCTGATTAGTTAACTGACTGAAGGAACAAAAAATCATCTTTCTACTTTTTACATCATATATGTGGATAATTGGTGGAGAATATTGCATAGAGCTCTTTAACGTTGTCTCCTAATTTGAAGACTCAGTCACTATTTATTTTATGGAAAACAAATTAGGTCTTTCTGAAATATATAATCATTTGACAATGTATTATTGCTCTCAATTTCACTCAAACTTTACTTTGACAGCGGAGGAGAATGTTTAAACAGTTGAGAAACAACAGTGTAGTTGAATCATCCTTCAAGTTTTTAACTTGCTATTTGGGTTATTGGTAATTTGATATGGTTGCATAAGATCTTAGTGTGCTTAACACATTTGGCAACTTTCTTCTCTTGCAGAGGTTGTTGTGAGCCCTCCATTTGTATTTCTTCCTCTGGTCAAGAGTGAGCTGCGATCTGATTTTCATGTTGCTGCCCAAAATTGTTGGGTTAAGAATGGCGGTGCTTTCACCGGTGAAGTTAGGTACGTTACTATTCTATTTGTGTACCGTGTTGTACTTTGGGGAAGACGATATATCTAGCTGCTAAGTTTTTGAGACCTGCATCTTGAGGAAAGAGGTGATAGTTAGGTAATTATTGTGGTCTAGGCTCATGTATTGTTTCTTCAAGCTGCTAGTCTTGAATTTTTATTTTGACCATGGATGTGTTGCGCCATCTTTTTGCAGTCTGTTCATAGTTGGGAGGATCTAGTCTGTAGAATTTGAGTATCATAATTTATTCTAAGCTGATTGTTATTCTCTGTGCAGTGCTAATATGCTTGTTAATCTGAGCATTCCATGGGTTATTTTGGGTCATTCTGAAAGAAGAGCCATTTTAGGTGAATCAAATGAGGCAAGTTATTTCATATGAAGCTGCTGATTTTTGTTATATCCTCAATGTAGTTATTAATTACTGAGCTGAAAGAGGGCTAACTTTACACTTCTATTACTTGTTATCCATTGATTGCAGTTTGTTGGAGACAAGGTAGCATATGCTCTTTCTCAAGGTTTGAAGGTAATTGCATGTGTTGGGGAGACTCTTGAGCAAAGAGAATCAGGATCCACCATGGCTGTTGTTGCAGCACAAACAAAGGCTATTGCAGGTAGACCTATCAAAATGCTTTCTTAGTTAATGGGCTATTATTTTTTAGCTAGAATGTGACTCGATGATATTATGTTGATTAGTATTCCGTCCACTTAAATGTGATAATATCAGCATGAAAATGGGAAGCATGAAGAAATAAATGGATTGATGAGGTTTTTAAGAAACTAAAAGGTAAATTGAAAAAGACTAAAGTAAAGTGATTGAAGATAACAAGAAAAGAAACTGGAACTAGCAGATCTTCTTATTTGTATTTTGTGAGTGCTTATGGGGATTCCTAGTGTATGTCAGGAGTGACAACTTGGTATTGTCGTTTATGCATGGGATGTCAATTTGTACCGTTTGAAATTTACATAATGAACTTCCCCTTTTTGGACATTCCATAATGTTTAACATCATTCTATTTTTATGCAACTTTCACCGCAATGTTGTTAAAGGCTTTGCTTAAAAGCGTGCTTAAGCCTTGAAGCTCACAGAGCCCAGGTTGTGGACTGTCACGTAGGACTTGACCTTGAAGGGCCCAACAACATATATATAGCTTAATAGTATTTTTATTCTGTTATTGAAATAATTATATTTTGTGTTTATAGTTACAATTTTGTTTTTAGTTTTTTTTGGGGGGCTTTTCTTTGCTAAAAGCCCTCGCTTTAATTGCACCTAGAGCTCCAACAGACGCTGGCACTTTCTTTTTGCACCACTTTTGACCATCTTTCATAGTCCTTCATCTAATTGTTTCCAGTTCATCTTACTGCAGACCGAGTAAAAGATTGGTCAAATGTGGTGATAGCTTATGAGCCTGTTTGGGCTATTGGTACTGGAAAGGTTGCAACCCCTGCACAAGCCCAGGAAGTAAGTTAATATGACCAGCTTGTGTCATTTACATAGTCAAGTTCCTTGAGATCTATATTGAATTTCAACTAGACTTGGAATGTTAGTATCAGTGATTAAATAAAGATCTACTTTCATATTCTTTCTATGCTTTGTCCTAGGATCTCTTGCTGGTCTTTAAAAGGGTTGAAGTAGTCCCTGTGTTAAACAATTATCTTAACTGTTCTTTACTTCTACATCAACCTATTGAGTAGTAATTTCAAGATAGAATTGCAAGTTTCTTCTAGTCTCTTTCCAGTTAATAGACTATGTTATTACATAGATGTAGATAATGAAAGCACATTTCAGATCATTTATATGGTACGAATTTATGCACTTTTGCTTTAAGGTTGTTTTCTGCATTCCAGGTACATGCTGAATTGAGGAAATGGCTTCAAGCAAATGTTAGCGCTGAAGTTGCTGCTTCAACCAGGATCATCTATGGAGGTAATTTTGTTTGACCGCTATGCATTTTATCCAAATAATGTGATGCTTCTCTCTGCTTATCTTATCCTCCATGTGTCAGCATTAAAATTTTTGAGAAGTTCTTCCCAACATTCCACAAGTTTGTGGGAGATAAGATTAGCTCCATTTCTTGTTAGACGCCTTATACTGGCTTCTCAAGTAAAGTAACTTTGATAGATGTTTAACAGTAATGGATAGCAAGCATATAGCCAGAATTTAATGAAGCAGACTTGAAGTATTTGATGTATAGTCAAATACGTAAGTAAACACTAGCTTTTGTAACCATAACTTGGCTGCAAATGACTAAAATAGTCAGCTAGACACATGCTAAACTTGTTTGGCATATTTCAATTCCTCGTTAATTCATTTTATTCCCGTTTGCTTTTACCAAGTAACTGAATTGTACTATATGCTCCGTGCAGGATCTGTAAGCGGTGCCAACTGCAAGGAGTTGGCTGGACAGCCAGATGTTGACGGTTTTCTTGTAGGTGGAGCTTCGTTGAAGGTATGTGAAAAATACTCTGGTTCTTCACTTAATAAACAGTGAATAAGGGTCGATAATGGTTGATTTAAAAGAATAGTGAGTAGCTTATGATTTCCTTTTCTGTATTTTATAGCCGGAGTTCATTGACATCATCAAGGCTGCTGAGGTGAAGAAAAGCGCCTAAGGTCTTGCACGCTATTGGAATTTTGCAGTTTTTGATCTAGGACTTCCAATGCAGTAGACTTGTATCAAGTCAATGTCTTGTGTACTCTTTATTGCAGTTTGAAATTTAAGTAACATGTACAATAAAATTGACAAACATTGCACTACCCTACTTCTTTTTTGGCTGCAACAATATTGTTTAATAAAATTAAAATGTGCATCTAATGACATACCCACCCTTCTTTATGTGGAAGTCTTTTGTGATCTAGGTGTCCTTTATTTTTCTGCAAGTTAATGGAGTATTTGATCGAGAAAATACTATAGTATTGAAGTAAAATATTTATGGACAGTACTAAGCATTGACCTAGTGCAAAAGTTTTTTTATATGGATATGTTACCCTACGGGTATTCCTTTTATCAGCTATTTTCTTAGGATAAGATTAGACTTCTTGTCGTTTGGGCAGAGGATATGAGAGATGCAAATAATGATGAATTTGAATTTTGGGTTCCAACTTCCAACTTTAGTATTTTCACCATCATTATAATTTTTGATATCACGTGTTCAAATCTACTAGTTACTGTAATTTTCATGAACTTTTTATACAGAAAACTAAATTTTACGTAGAAAATAGTAGATTTAGATGAAGGTTAAGCTAAATAGCTTCATCCACCCCTAGAGCAGACATCCCAATATGAGGTGATTTAGAAGGAACTTAAAACTGAAGAGACTTAAAGTTGAATGTGATTCAATAATAATCTCGAAAAGGTGTAGAAAAATTGTTTCTGACAGATATTCAGCTTAAAAACATTTGCGACTTATGACTTTTCTTGTATTGCCATATTTTCTTTGAGCTAACGATTTAATTTAGACAACACATTTTTAAATTTTTGAAAGTGAAAGGTAAAATTTACGTTAACTATCTTTTATAGAATTACATTTGATATATTATGATGGCTGTTATGGAAATTTTCTATATTTATACTGACAGAACATATATATATATATCAAACCAAACATTATTATATATGTTCAATGAATGAATTAAATGCTATAGTTTGAAAATGAAGATTTCCAATATCTTGAAAAGTTGAATCCTCAAAAAACAAGGAACATGAGACCTGCAAGTCAATTGATGATGTTTCTATTTTCCATTACGACAAAGGTGTATGTATGTATTATCAATTCACATGGCAGTTGACTTCATTTTCCTTTCACAAACACATATATGGTCCTAAATTGGTGTTTTAAATATTTTGTCGTAGATTATGTGACATTAATTTTTATTAGTCTTAACTTAAAAAGAAAATAATGTAATTTTAAATTTTTTATTTTATTCTTAACGACATACTTTTTTATCTGACATGAAATTTTAAACATGTTTATAATGGTTATGATCCGATCCATATGATTGAGGAAATGAGTTATGGCCTTGAAGAGTCTTTTCCTCGTGAATTAGTTTTTAAAGGGTTGATTAAATTTAAATGTCTGAGTTTTTTTTCACATGATATTATAAGAATCATATATGTTCATCAATTCTTGTTATTATGTTATTAATATTGTGCTTCATATTATGTTATTTACGCTCCAGTTGATCACGATCTGTGGAAAAGTGTTATATTCTATGTGTATTGATGACGGGAGGCGATCTTATGACATGGTCTTGTACAATTTTTTCATGTGAGTTAGTTTTTTAAGTTGAACTCGATATTTATTTTTATTTAATATAAAGATAATAAATTCCAAAGAGCTTGCTTTATTTTTAAAAATTCTATCCATTTAAACTACATAAAAATTGAGACGGAAAGAGCAAATTTTTTGAGGTTTGCATGAATATCTCTGGAATGAACCTTAAATGATGTGATATAGTAGATGAGATTGTCAATTTCAACTTCTGAATATAAAATTATCTTCGATCAAAAATATTTTTCACGAATGAATTCTGTATAGCATAAATTTAAATTAATCGAATAAATAATATAAATACGAATATCTAGTGGAAAACAAGAATGTTTCTTGGATGCAAGAAAGTCAAATGAACTTGTTGTCTTGCTTAGTTTGCTATAGTAACAAAAAGGACCCTATTGTTAACAAGACTATTGTCCCTATTTAATTTAATTATTTTCTTATGAAAGTCAAAAGTTTCAAGTACGAAAATTTTTTATAGTTAGATATTGAATTGCTACTATCATTTAAGAGTAATTAATATTCCACATGTACAAAAAAGTATAATTAGATTAAGGTTAAATAACATTTTATACAATGTGGACGTTTACAACTTTTTCTTCTTATTAAAGTTACCTTTTTAGCTGCTATAATAAAGAGGTTCTCTTCCAATAAAATAAGAGTAGTTTTTTTTTTTATAATGAATAAACAGACAAAAAAAAGATTGTCATTGCTTAGGCTGCCAATAGATAAAGTCATGTTTTTTTTTAAAAAAAAAAAAGATTGAAAACCAAATAAAATAAGAATACATTAATTTATAATATATAGTTTGATTGAAGTGTAGAGTAATTCACATGTCAAATCTAAAAATTGATTTGTTTGGCCTGTGAATCACATAAAGAGATTGTTAGGGTCAACTCCATATATTGTGAAATTGGTTGTAATTGTGTTCCAACACATCAAAAAGTTGTACTTCTTTTCGTTTTTAAAAAAATGACATTTTTTTTAATTTATTTAAAAAAATATAATTTTTTAATTTTAGCTTTTGTGACATATTTAAAATCACAAAATTATATGATAATTTTGTACATTTTTTACATAACTTTAATTTAGAATTACAAGATTCAAAAGTCTATCTGTTTTTCTTTAACTCTGTGTCAAGTCAAATTAGATTATTCTTTGTAAAACGAAGAATGTACCATATAAAACCAAATTTATAACCACCTCAAAAAAATTCTATCCATTTCTACTTGTTCAAAAAATCAACTTTGACATATCGTCTAAAGAGCAATAAATAAAATGTTAAATTTTATTACTTTATTATTTAAATATAACAAATTCAATTGAAAAAATGACTATAATTTATAATGGGAGTAAATTATAACTAATGAATTATTTTTAATTTTTAAAAATGAATCGAGTAAAACTAATATTTATATTTTTAATATAAAATAAAAATGAAGGAGAATATTTTTTAAAATTTCTTGTTAAATTAAAATCAGTCAAGCATATTAAAACCAATAATATATTTGTTTGGAGACTTGTAGTCCCATCAACCTAGTTATTTGAACTTTCGTTGTCTAGTTTGGCAAATTGGAGGTGAAATTTCCTCTTTTTTGTTTTGTTTTTGCCAGTTCAGTTTGACTGGCCTTTTCAAAAATTCATGCACATGGACATTTTTTATAGTAATAAATAATAATAATAATAATAAATAATATAATATATTTTTTAATTTTGTTATTTAGAGTTAGTATATATCTTCTTATAAAAATGATTCACGTAGATTCTATCGTTATAAAAACGATTCACATATAGAGGTATCATTATAAAAATGATTTACATATATCTTTTCATTTAATGAAAGTGAAAGATTAATTTTAAATTCACTATATTAAGTTTAATAGGTAAATATACGATCCTTTTTCACATAATTTTTTTTTGCATAATATATAAATATGTTTTTAACTTGTCTTCAAATTACAGTTATGTTTTTTAATTTTGGGTATGCATAAGTAGACACTTAAATTTATATAAATTAAACAAATAAGCACACATGTCCTACATGTTATTTTTTATCCTACGCAAGTCCTACATGTATTGTGTCACGTAAAACTCATGTGTTTATTTGCTCAATTTTATATAAGTTTAAGTGTCTACTTATACATATTCAAAGTTGAAGGATATTAATATAATTCTTTTTTTACTTGTTTAGTGTTACTAACCTTAATTTGAGGAGAGATTTATGAAATTATCTCTAAAATTTGATTATATTTGAATTGGTCCATTGCTTCATATAATTGCTTCATATAATTTCGAGGGTGACACTTTTAATTAAAAAGATCTTCTATTTTGAAAAACTTTTAATTTAAAATTTTCGATTAAGATAGAGAGATTTCAACTGTTTCATTGTATTTGAATTCTCGTCAAAAAGTTTTATTTGATTAAATTTTATCCATAATCATTCAATTTTATTTAAAGTTAATTACATGATATTCCTTATTTAAATAATTTTCGTAGCGATTATTTTAAACATTTTATTTCATATATTACGTTATCCTTATGTCAACACTTACGTATGGAAATAGATAAATGTGTTATCTGCTACTCCTTTTTTTTCTTTTAAAAAATAATTTTAATTATAAAAAGGCCACCACATATAATTTATACAAATATTTTTTTTGCCTCCATTGAAAATTGTAAGCTTGACACATGGAGTGAAATAACATTAATTGTGCTACCTTACTTGCAACCAATTGTCTTTAAGCAGCTAATCAGACATCCAGCCCAAAAAAACTTAAATATAATAATACGTGTATTTCGCTTTTCGAGAATTAAATTATTTTGAATAATTTCTTATTTTTAATTATTTAAATTTATTTTAATAAATAAAAAAAGATTTTTTTTAACTGTTATTCAAGTTATGATGATATGAATTATTGTAAAATATTGGAATCAGGTGAGATATGTTATGATGAGATTATTTTTTATTAAATATTTGATTTATTATATTTAAAATAATAAATTTTAAGAAAAAAATATTTGTTTATAAAAATATCCTCTATGAATGTAAAAAGTAATGTAACAGAAGGATTGAAAGAGACATTTTTATCATTTACTTATTTTATTTCGAGATTAGTTATTTCGAAAGAATTATACCATTCGAGGAGAGAATAATTTATCTCGGTACTAATTATTAATCCCGAGATAAGTTATTCTGAACTTTTGAATCAAACAAAAAATTAGGTGATACTATAATTTAATCTCAGGACTATTTAGTATTGTTCTTTACACCAAACGCCCCTAAATTAATTAAAACTTTTTGACAATCTTATATTTTTAACTTATTCACTTTATAGTAAACGGTAAACTAACAATATCAATAATTATTTTTTAAATATATATATCAGTTCTAATGTATTTTAAATATGTTAATATGAGAAAGATTTATAACTTATTATATTTTAAATACAGTTTTCGATCATTTAAGCTTTAAAGAGTATAAAATTAATCTAACTTACTTTGACTCTAACGATGATTGAAATTGGCGCTCATAAAATAAAATGACAAGAAAATATAAATAAAAAGAAAGA